GAGTCAACAGAGCAAATTGAGGCATTGAAATGACTTGCATTACAGTAAAAGTCAAGTACTATGTGTACTTAGAATTCAGGCCTTAAGTAACAGTTTTTTGATGTTGATGTAAAGGGTTCTTTGTACAGCTGCTGTTTTTCTTCCTAAGCATTTTGAAATATATCTACATCTTAAGTCTGTTTTGTGTTGTATTTCAGAAAAAGGGTTCTATTCAAGGGAGATCTAAAAAAAGTATAAAATCAGGCCACTACTGCTGTTTCTTATGTAAGAGGCAACTCAGGCATTCCTTTGCTATAATCTACCCTCATTACATAGTGATGTTCTCCCTAATCACTCTGGCCGTTTTAGGTGTAGCGTGAACAGATGTGTCTATTTTTATTTCCCCTGCACTCACATCTCTCTGTTTCTTTCTTATCAGCAAATTATCTATTCATTGGTCCTATCTCATTGTTTTATATTTATCTGCGTTAAAATGAGTGTCACTCATTACCTCAGGGGTTAATAAATTAAAGTCTCCTGCATCTAGCAGTTTTATTCTTTCTGGTTATTGCATCACCTAGAAATAAAATTATTTTTTCATTTATACCTGATACTTGAATTTCTATCCCTTAACTGTTTCTTAGTTTAATCAGTCAATTTTTGCAATTAGATTGTGCTGAAGTCCCATGAGTTTGACAGAATAATTGCAATTAGAATATTCTTCTCCTTCCAAACTTGAGGGACCTAGAAATTGGAAAACCCACTTTTTTTTTTGTGCAAGAACGAAAAAGTTTCTGACCCTCTTCTAAAAAGAGCTTTGAGCGTTATTTAGATAGAAAACTCACAGGTTTATAAGCCTGAGCTGTATCAGCATTACCCTGTAATAAAAATCCAGCACCTAGAAGGAAGTTCATATTTAAATGTGAATTTCTAGTGAGCTACTTGTTATTGTTTTCTGTCCTAGGAGTCTACTTGAGAGAAAATCTTTGAGCAGTCCTGCTAACTGCTCTGCAGTCATAATGGTTGTTTTACTTCTCAGAGTACTAAAGTATTCTGTATGTAGGTATGTTTACATTAATTTTTCACATAATTTAAAAATCTTAGCATACATAATAAACTTATTTTAATAACATAATTTAATGTTTTGCTGTGAACATCTTATACAGAGAATGCTTTAGTGCAAAAATGAAAGGTAAATTTGATTATCTAAATTAGGTCTTGATAATTAATGCTGATCTGTAATCTTTGCCTAATAGGTATGTAATAAGCCTTCCGAAAACAGTTGCATCAGATTTCTAGCATTTTATCCAGCTAGGGGAACCAAATGCTACTATTATCTGACTCTATAATCATACGATTAAACTCCAAAGCCCACTGATGCTTCTAGAAGGACTTGGATAGGCAAGTCTCACACATAGTACTGAGACCTTCCTGGATGGAGGGACATCCTTTCCTATGTGCCTCTCTTCTGCAAACAGGATACATCCCCGTTCGCCAACTGCAGCTACTGTTCCTCCAGACTGACACGCTGCCCAGTGGGTGCACCACTTTCCACTGGCTGCAGCTACTTTGACAGGTGTAGAGGTGGAGGGGGGATTGTTTATTCCTGGTGTGAAGAAAGTGCTTCTTGGTGCTTGAGTGGTGAGGCTTCTGGGGATAATGCGAATTTGATGGTGAAAACAACTTGAAACAAGATTAGGAACATCTGAAAACAGACTTTAAAATGTGGCACAGAATAGTGTGACTTTAGTTCCCAACCATGTCGCTTTTCATGTTAGTATATAACTCTATCCCAGTTGAACAATTAAATTTAGCACTCAAATATGGTTTTGTAATGGGAAGAGTTTAGTTTGTTTCGGTTACCTGTACAAATAACTCTCATCTACAGATCAGTTGCCCTGGTTTGAATAATGGGCATGTTTAACACAGCAAAATGTATATGTCTAAACTTAGCTGGCAATGTTGAAGCAACTTATTAAGACAGATATTTGACATATCTTAGATATGTACAGCTGATTATTAAAGTTTATCATACTAATTCTATTTAGTTAAATGTGCAGTTTTTCCAGCAGAAACACAGAGAATATTAGTATCGTGTCTGAACAAACTACCTGTAATTACTTCCTGTCAAAATTGACGTAAAAGCAACGGGAAACAAGTTAACTCTCTTAATTCTTTGATATTTGATGTTCTATTGTCTGATGCAAGGGGGGGGAAAGGAAATCGTTTACTACTACCATAATCTTACTTCTGTAGCACAGAAACTACTTCACAATTACATAACCATGTCCTTTGCATGCTTTGGTGTCTTTTGTTTGTAAATCATCTCAAGGGAATCCACAAAGCTACTACCGGCAGTCAGAGAGGCGGGAATTTTACATGGCTTTCATGACAAGCGCTTTCCCAAAAGTGCCCTGTTTCATGGTCAGTTCCTGGTAGCAGTCTCATTTGATAAACATCCTCCACGTGTTTTGGACCTCCTTGTCTATAAAATGTTACCCCAGTAGTCTTCTGTGGCACTGCTGTGGATAAAAGGCTTAGGGAATGCTTTACGTATATTAGAGTAAAATCTCTAGTCTCTTTTCTCCCCCTGTGAAGATAGAGTCCAGTCATCTCCAGGATAGCCAGTAAGTATAATAGGATATTTCATTTATTTCTGTTATCCTAGCTGAGCAGACAGTATGTTACCAGACAAGGAAACAGTGAAACATAATAAACTTCTACAGAATTGTTAAGAAAGTTGCAGCTGCAGAGCAAGATTTCAAGTCTGCTCTCATCTCCCTAACTCTAAGTCTGTAGGTGTAAACCTGAGGGCAGAATTTGGTTACTTTATTAAACCAGGAGTTACAGGAAGTCAATTAGCTTTTCCTGTCCCACAGACTGTTTATGAAATGTCAGGGGGAGCAAAGAGAGGGAAGTATTCCTTCAGCTTGTGAACAGAAGCGATAACCCTGGAAACTTAGGATTATATTTTTAGATTAAAATTTGTTGTGGGCATAAAATAAATACACTCCCAGGAAGTTGGTTCACAAGTGAGAACCATGATATCAGATGTAATAATGACATATTGGACCATATCTTTTATTAATTCAGAAGTGTTGCAAATTTTGCAACTTCTTCACATAGGAGGGTTGGGTATTAAAGCTCTAAACATGGTGAAGGCAGTATGAAAGCCTGTTGCACGCTAAATGCACTCAGCAGCTTGATAAATGCCTTGTAGCTGGGCTAGCAGTGTGTATCATTTACTTTGGAAGACAGGCAGTTTGATCAGTAAAGACCTGCTGGATGATCAGAAAAAAAGAGTAGACACACGGAATAAGTGAAGGATATAGCTGGGTTGGGTGTGTTAAGCAGTAATGAATGGGAGAAACGTGCTGTTAATGTGATCATCAGTCTTTAATGACACATCATAACTGTTTTCCCACCATTTGTGTATAGAGTGTTAATAGCATATGCTCAGAAGCAGCTTGAAAAGAAACAAGTAAATCACATCATTTCCTCTTGAACTGTTCTTTAGAGCTGTTTTAGACATTAAACAGACAAATAGTAATGTGAAAGTGGTAGAGCAGAAGACAACTTAGCTTTCCAAAAGGATTCACCAAATGCCTGCATTTAAAAAGGGTTATGGTAAATTTATTACACTCTTATCACGCAATGAATGTTATATAGTGTGCTTAAAAGTGTTTTGGGTTGGTTTTTTTAGATTAAGAAATGTGTCATATAATTGAAAGTTTAAGACACCAGTGATGGATCATCAGTAACTAAAGCCAAGCAAGGGTTAGGGGTGCAACCTCAAGTTAGATATCAAACCTAGGGGTGGCAAAATCATGGTGTCCCCCAAAAACAATTTTTGGAGGGAAATGGTTCTGGGCACAGAAGGGGTAGCCTTCCCAAACCCATTTTTACAAAATGCTGCAGTGTTTGATTTCAGATAAGATCTGATCTTGGATAAAGTGCAAGTAAACTGAGTTATGCAGTTATATCAAATAAGACTGGCAGGTTATGTATGCATGGAAAATATCAGGTTGCATGATAAGCTGTGTGGAAAAAAGCATCAGCCTGGGTTTTGAATTGCTTGACAAGAAAGGGTGTTTGGCATCACAGCAGGTTAAAACTAGGGTTCTGGAACACCATTAGCATAATTGTTTACTAGGCAGGTGATAATTGCTTCTGGATAGGCCTAAGGGAAATGAACATTCTGAAAACATAAAGAGGTGCTCAGTGACAAGGAGGGAGGAATTCTGGAGTTACCTGGGACCAAATGAATAGTAAGAAATCCTTCTCAGTAGGGTGGAGTGAGAAGGAAGACTTACATCTTAATAACTCCCCAAAAAGGGTGTTGGTAGTACAAAAAAAGGAAGGATTCCCAAAGCTAGGTTCCCTGTATCCCTCAGGATACAAGCTATGCAAAAGGACTGCATCTCTGAACACCTGTGTTAAGAATCTAACAGCTTATTGGCTGGATAGAAGGGAAGTAGAAGAAACTTCTGGTCTTGCGATAAGTAAATTCTGTATGGTTCCCTCTCATTTCTGTCCTGTCTGCAAATGCTTTGTATGTAATTCAGTTATCTATTTTGGATTTTGTATAAACAATCTTGCTACTTGTTCTTAAATAACCTGGATTTTAATGACTTCAAGACACCTAACTAATATCAAGGTATCCCACCCTTTACAGGCATGATAACTTTAAACTGGGATGCTGGACCATTTTCATAATGTGCCCTCCCCACTCCCCTCCAATATCACCCTCAGGGATCCAAAGGCTAACCAGGAGTACCTCCATTAATGTGCATGGACTACTGTAGAGATGACAATTCAGAGCTGTGGGTCGAAGAAACATCTTTGGATTGGCAACATTAGCCAAGAAGCTCCTTGGTATACATTAAGATAGTGGGGCCTGTGCAACTAGTAATAATTAATGTTTCCTACCACTGAATTTTTGGCAGCTTTCTGCTCAGTGTGTCAGCTGCTATGAATGGTATTCCACAATGTATAGGAACATGGGTTGTATTTTAGGGAGAGAATACATTGACTTAGGCATTGAAACATTCACCACATATATTCTTTTTGAGAGTCTAGTCCTAGGTGATGTAGAGGCTTTCAAAAGTGTTACCAACTTGCTTAGATTGTGCCCGCGTAAATCTTTTTACACATTTACTTCTATATGATGAATATACAGGCTTCTAACCAAAACTGGTAACTAATATTGTAGCAATTCTACCTACAATACCAAAGGTACAGATTAATTAACAATAACCCCTAAAGTTATGTCTTTTGGCAACTTTCAGGGGATTCAGGAACAAAGTCATAATCAAAGAGGGGTTTAGTTTTGGGTTGGTTTTTTTGTTTTCCTGAACTGCAACTGTACAAACTCAAATCCTAATCAAAATTGATCTTGATAAAACTTAGAGTGTCTTGCCTGTTAAAATGTCTACCTAAGGTCCCAAGTACTACTTAGTCTTTCACTTTGTCAAACTTGTTCTTTTAAGGTCACTGCACTTGTTCAGTCAACAGAACTTTCCTGTGATTTTTTTTCCCTAATCACTTCTGTTGTCTCTTTCTCAGTTCCCTTTTTCTTTTCATCTCGTATTTGCATTTTTAAAACCTATTCCTATTCATCCAATTTACACCCTCATCTTTATTCCAGAATATCCATTGCCTTTAAGATTTCTTACTTGATCCAACAGACATCTTTTATTTATTTATTTTTAGTATTTCTGATTATCATCTTCCTCCCCCATCATTTGGTCTATTCTCTTCATTATTCTCTCTAACTCATTCTATTAAGCTTCCATTTAGACACTACTATATCATTCCAGGTGCAGCTGTGTTAAAGAAGTACTGGCCATTAAATTATTTTAAAGAAATAGGCATGAGTTGTACTCCTTTATTCTAAAGAAAATTGGGCTTTATTGGCAAGGAGACAGAATTTCTGACAGTCAGTTCCACTCTATATTGTGTTTCCAGTTGTGTATCTGTCCTGGTATGTAACTTACCGGGATTTTCTTGTGCTTCCGATTTCAACCTCCAAGCCTAGGTATTACAATGCTTGTCTTAATTCTTGCTAGCATACTTTAATTGTTTGCATTCATTTACAAGTCTTGTTCCTCAGACCAGTAGAAATTATAATGCTAATTCAGTATGTCTAACTTCAAAGCACTAAGTGCACTTTTAGGTCCATACAGGAAATCTACTAAAAATCAAAAATAGTAAATTTCTTGAAATTTGAAAGTAGATATATTAAATAGCTTTTAGTTTTTTGCCTCTCCTTTCTCATCACTAGTTTTAAGTTACTTTTACTGCCTCTGCATAGGACTGCAGTACCATCAGAAATGACGATGTGCTGCTCTCTTTTTTATGTCATCATTTATAATGCAGTTAATATTAAATTGAAATGTCAAGTTAATGTTCATTGTCCAAAAGAAGATCATCTAGATACCATTGGAAGAGAGCTCTAGAAAGTATTTTTCCTTTATGTTCCTGTTAGTTAAGGCTCAGTTTTCCATTCCAATTAGGGTAAAAAGACAATATCTTTGAGGTTTTATGCAGGTTCAAGGGCCTGTCTACCCAGAGCTGACTTTAAAAGGAAGGCTTGAATCACTGTTTCTTCCTCCTCTTGTCTGGAGAGAAGTGGCCTATATGGAAACTCTGTCATACTTCAGGGTTACTGTCTGCCAGTATAGTATGTCTGTGAGGACAGTATTGCAAGGTCACCTTTTGCTATGTCACACAACAAATGTGACACATGTAAGGAACATCAGACTTCCTGCATGTAAGCTGCAATAGGATGCCGGCTCAGTGGATGCCACAGATTTCCAGATAAAAGCCAATCATGGGTGAAAAAGCTTGTGCTATTGCACATATCTGCAATAACCGCAGATGGGAAGGAACTCTGAAGTCTTTCACTGAGAATGGGACCAATATACCAAAGTTGTTTGTTCTCTCAAACAAGGTTCTATCTAGGAGCAGAAGACTCTCCTGGAAAGCATAAAAGTATCATTGGCCTGATGGTCTCACACTGGTAGACCTTCCAGGGGATCTCCATATGTAATGCATGAATATTAAGAGTGTTAGAAAGTTTGCCATTGCTGAGATAATTCTCTCTATTGCTAAAGCAACTTCTTAAACTTTTTCCCAGAGATACAACAGTGAGAGAGATCGAGGAGCAGGAATCTTAATCTAGTCAGAGCCTGACTATTGGGAAGAGGGACGTAGGAATGACAAATAGCTAGAACTACTTTCCAGCAGCTTCAGGGACATTATTGTACAGTATGAAAATTGCCAAAGCTGAAGATAAGAAGAATTTCTCATAACCTATGTCACTTCAAATTGGTTAAATGTGTCAAATGAGCTACTTTAATGTTCTCAGACACTTCTTTTCAGGCATTCTTCCAGCTTAGTAATACCTTCTGAATTTTCCCTAAAATACTGCTTCAACATATCTGCCATCCACCTTTGCAAAGGGGGAGGTGGGAGCAGAAAGCTTTTTGACGCCGCCAATTCCTTCAGTGCCACTCGTCTGTTCCAGATTAGTTTCCATTTTGCCTCTCTTCAAGTTAAACCTTCTATTTTCTTCTATTAAAGCAATGAACATATAATCAGGTGCATTTTCCACCTCTTCAATTTT